GGCTGCTCTCGGCAGGTTCACGAGTGACTCGGTGGGTTCAAAACTCTTAAAACTACATTCTGTGACACAAAAAAATAGTTATTTTTAAATTACAGTGGATTTGGGCATCCGCCATGACACTCGCTGTGAGAAAAACGGGAAGCGGAGTGATAGAAACGGTGAAACGGTTGGAGGAGTTCTGTTATCACTCTAATATCGCACTCTTATCAGCCAATCAGATTCGAGGACAAAAAAGAACTGTTGTATAATTACATATTAATATGTGATCTATAGAAAATTGTATACCTATCTATAAATTGTGTGTGTGTGTACCTAGATGGTGCACAGGGGCATACAAGACAAAACACCTTCAGGGTAACTCACATGACACTATAAAATAATGCAATAAACATTAACTAAATAACAAAACGTAACACAAAACACCTTAATGTACATTACTGATTCCAAAAGAAGGAACAAAATTATTCATATAAAATTTTTTATATAAAATCTAATCATATGTGATGTTTTACACAGGAATTTCTGGGAATGTATGCAATATTATACAGTAATTTAGTTTTTACTTGCAAAAACCATAAATTTGACAGTGTTACCAATTAATAATATTTTGCTCAGCATTTTTACAGTTTTTATTTATTTTTTACAGTGCCAATATTTTAGTCTTGAGTGAATTTGAAGATAAATCCTTAAGTCCATACCGAAATGTTTTGATTGTAGACTTCTGATTGTGAGATTGTGATCTTTTTATTTATTCTTGCATATATGCTGATATATTGATTCATCCTCAGAACTCCGAAACACTGTGGACTTTTCCTTTGACCTCTGCTGTTTTTACACAGAGCCAGTGATATTCTCTGTCCCATAAACCTGAACCTGACCTTCACACAAACCTTTCTGCATTTCTTTCTGCATCCCAGATCCAACACACTTCCGCACATATAGGCAACTGTGCGCTCACAGACAAAAACGACACAAAGAGAGGAAATTTTATACTGTCAGATTATATCCTCCAGAAAAGCCAAATCACATTAGCTGGTGATGGCATGATAGAAATCATATGCTCCTCTGCCTGAGCAGCCATTACAGCATGGTTCATCACTTCCAGACTGCAGCAATCAAACGCCGAGCCGGGGCATTAAGGCCAGACATGAGCAATATAACTCAGAACAAGGTCATTGACAGCTGACCGGAGCACCATCGCATATACTCCTACAAACTGTATGACACGTGACATCAGCTTTCCACATTCAGGAGATCCGATGTTCTTGTGCTTTGGAAGATGATGCAAGTGGATCATTTATTTATTGTCAGACTAAGAAATTGGGATGATGGATGAGGAATTGACTCAAGAACAAAAGCCCATAATTCCCTCAGCATAATCAGTTGATGCCATCAAAACACCGCCTGGAATCCATTCCTGAGAAACTATTTTCTGGCCCGAGTTTGACATCGTGTTTCCTTTCACAATGAAGCTCTTCTGTTCTAATAAGGCTGAAAAATGCTATGGTTTCATACACGTTTTTCTTTCTCTAGTGCTGAATGAGGACAGCGGCCTTGCTATGACCCCAAACCGTCCTTGCAGATGACGCTCCACCCCCACAATCATGAGCAGTGCACTGATTCATTAGGCATTCTCCTGGAAATGCAATGATTTATTGAATGGTGTGGTTGTCTTGGTGTGAGACTATTGAAGAAGGGTTGATGAAGAGAGACTGGAGAGAGAAATCCAGGAAGTTTATGACAGATAGACAGACTTCTGCCCATTTCTGATGGGGAAAAAAAGTGAGAGAAAATGTTTCTCTGAAGAGATTTTTCACCAGCAGGCCAGTTTTCTCTGGAAGGACTTTATGAGCATAACTTTAGAGAAAGAGTAGGGAACATGTCGGGAGATCCATCAAAACTCATTGGAAGAGAGCAGGGTAATTGTGACCATAAAGTTTTTTGTTTTTTTTAAATCTCACCAATCTTTGACATATTAGCAGTGATTTCCTTGTTAATTAAATTTGCTGCACAGTCATTTCAGATACAATTAAACTAGAGGTACAAAAAGGCCAAGGTTGCATTCATAAAAACCCAAGCTGTGTAATTGTAGAGATGGTATGCGTTAAAAGTAATAGTATTTTATTATTATTATTATTATTATTAT